ATTGGTGGTGGCTTTTGCCCAACGGAGCCTCGTGGCCAAGCTCATATATCGTTGATTCTTCACTAGTAAACACAAGATCTAGAATATTTGGGGTCTGTTTACCCCTAAAATGGGTTGGCTTGGTGATGTTGTTACCGTGTGTCTCTAGCGGGTGAGACAAACTTGTTGTCTGCTTATGAATTTAGAGGTAACTATCTAAGTGAAAGGATAATGAAACAATTTCTCTATAAAAGTAATTAAGGGATCTTGTACAAAATTAATCAAAACAAGTGACTGAAGTAACTCAAGTAAGCAAAACAAACTATGGATAAAGACTAATAAAAGTGGTGTGTGGATTGTGAGTTGTTATGCTAAAAGTGAACTAGAAATTAGAGTTTAGAGCATGGGCAGGCGGAGGTGGTTCGTGTGGCAGTTAACTGAAAAGCATAACTAAAATTAATTGATGGAAATTAAATTGGCAACACTCATGACAATGCTTTGGAACATGAGAAATATTTTAAGGTAATTTAACCACTCATGGCCATCATGCCAATTAAGACAATAAACATGCTTGAAGCATTAATTAGTGGAACAGAAAACGGGATCATAGTTAATGAAGGTACAATGAACAAATCAAGATTTCAAGGTTAAAACTCTGAACTTAATGACTGTAGATAATTAACTGAACAAATAATATAACTTGACAAAAAATGTTAATGAATCATATCGGTTCTTTAGAAAAACATCACAAACATGGGACAGAATAGCTGGTACAGACTAAATAAACACACACCGTAAAATGGGGTAACTTAGACCACTTTTTTTCTTATAAATGATGCCATTTTCTTACTAGCTAAATTAAACTTATATGTAACTAGAAGAGTTCTACTACAATGCATCAAAACCTGGAGTTATTTAACCAAAAAATAAAAAAATTGGAGGGGGTACTCTGACAGGCTTTATATAATAGCTTTCTTTCGTTGGTCACATTTTTAATTTTTTAACCTATTAGATATGCGAACTTTTTAAATCTTTCTATTGTGTTATGTAGCCTCAGTATTAGGCCTTTAATGCCCATTGACAAAAATTTTCTATGTCAAATAGTTTTTGAGTTGTGGGGGTTTTTGTAAAAAAACCAAAAGTGGTCTAAGTTACCCCGCCGGTCTAAGTTACCCCGTTTTACGGTAATACAAGCACATAATAAAATGCACATTCAGAAAAACATTGCAATGACAACAGTTAAATTAAGAACCAAAAGCCTCTATTGAAAATTGTGAAAATGAAGCTTAAGTAAGAAAGACTTAAGCAAGACCGTGACGCTCAGACACTTAGCATCATCTTACCATTAGCCTGAAGGGACAACAACAGCACTCAACTCACCTAGGCAATAGTCCTTCTAACAAGCAATAATAGCCTTCTGAATTCCCAATTGATCAGACAAATTACCACAGCTTCACATCAAGGCAATGACACTGGAAATGAAAAATAAATTGATGCTGGAATGAGATAAGAGAAAACATGGCAATGTTAATAATGAATATATCAGATATAGGTTAAAATCAGCTGAATGAGAGAAGGCAGTAAGGGATGTGCTAAAACCTAGCTTAATTATGCTCCCTGCAACAATGTTCTGGATTGAAAGTGAGTCTTGCACAGACTCCAAGAACAAGGATGCTGGGTGATTCCCATCTCTTGGATAAGATTCATCTGCCCAGTCTATTTCTGGATGGTTAAAGTCACCAATGATTAACGTATGCGACCTGCTGAATGACATGCTTGGTAAAAGGCTGTTTAGTACTTTATTGTTATAAGAGGAGCTGTTATGTGATCTGTAAATGACCCCTATGAGAAGGCTATCTTTGCCTTTTAGAGTAAGTTTGCACCACACTGATTCTCTAGCTGATTGATGCTCTGCAGATAACTCAACTTGCTGGGCTCCATAAGAGGCCCAGCCCCATAACGGCACTTTCGCTTTGATGTATGCGGTTACTTCCTACATTATTCACAGGCCTTGATCTACGGACATCATTCCTACTAATTACTTATCCTCCATCTTCTCTGACTGTCCGTAAGCAGCCGGTGTTGTCTTGGCAGCTTGGAAGTGACTGACCTGATTTTTCGTGCCTTTCCACCTGATTCTCTCGTGCCACTTCTTGCAAAAAACTGCCCTTTCTAAGGGGGTGGAATCTTTCTTTGCAAAAACTGACTTGTAATCAGCGGATTCTCCAAGCTTACTCGCTGTTATCAGCACGCTCCAGAGTCCAGACCTGAGCAGAATCCTTCACAGTCACCAGCAGAGGTCTGAAGGTGTTGGCAGCGGCATCCTTTGAGCATAGCCTCTTGCAAGATATAACGTCAATCGATGTGTTAAGTACCTTGCTGCAACAGTCTACAACAAAGGCTGTGTCATCCATCACTCGGTACCTTCGCATCAGATGCGTTACTTCCAGGAATCCCAAACCAGACCAGGTTGGCCTTCCTACATTCTCTATCAAGCAATTCACGTGAGCTTTCACTAGCAACTTCAGATAAATCAGCTGTCTTATTCTTTACTTCCATTTCTTCCGTATTTTTCAACTGAGCCTTCACTTCAGTCAGCTCATTGCAGAGCGAGCTCAGTTTGTCACTCAGCGAGCGCACCATCTCACTCAAGGAGTTTACTACATCCTTCAACAATTTCGACTCATTGCCGACTCTTCCACCGACTCCTCTCTTTTTTGAGCGCCAAGAGTTGGTTTTTTGCAATCACGGCAAAACCAATGAAGCAATTTAGATTTCTGGAGAAATGTGTCCTCCTTAGAGCTCAACTTCGAACAGCTGATACAAATGAGATCTTCACATCGTTCACAGGTGACCATCTGGACTTTGCTCAAAGAGATCTCTTTGCAGTACTTGCAAACTTTCATCTCTAGCTGGGCTGATTTGGTTTTATTTTGTATTCTAGAGGCCATAGATGGCTTTTCTCTAGAGGCCGTAGAGGACTTTTTGACTATCTTTTATTTTCTGTCCAGCCATTATTAAATGCACGAACTGGTTTTCTTGAACGGAGAAAAGGACAGAGAAAAATACAGAAATGGACGGAGAAACATACAAAACTGAGTTGAGTTGAGTACCGTAAAATGGGGTAACTTAGACCAGCGGGGTAACTTAGACCACTTTTCGTTTTTTTAACAAAAACCCCCACAACTCAAAAACTATTTGACATAGAAAAATTTTGTCAATGGGCATTAAAGGCCTAATACTGAGGCTACATAACACAATAGAAAAGTTTGCATATCTAATAGGTTAAAAAATTAAAAATGTGACACACAAAAAAAGCTATTATTTAAAGCCTGTCAGAGTACCCCCTCCAATTTTTTTATTTTTTGGTTAAATAACTCCAGGTTTTGATGCATTGTAGTAGAACTCTTCTAGTTACATATGCAAACGACAAATTTTAGGAAAGTGTCATAGTTTGCAAATGGGAGGCGCCGCCCCCAAATGGGGTAACTTAGACCACCTAATGTCAGCCCTGACGGGGTAACATAGACCGGCTTGGAAGTTAATATAAAATTACCATATATAAACTACAGAGTCTTATATATGGTAATTTTAACTTAATTTCCAAACCAGTCTATGTTTCCCTGTCACGGCTGCCATTAGATGGTCACATTTCGCCCATTTCAACTATGACACTTTCCTCAAGTTTGTCATTTGCATATGTAACTAGAAGAGTTCTACTGCAATGCACCAAAACCTGGAGTTATTTGGAGTTATTTTACCAAAAAATATAATTGATTTTACCACCCGGTCAAAGGTACCCCAAGAGCTGGGGTAACAAAGACCACCACTTTTTTTGAAATTGCATAAAGACTATGAGAGGCAGGAGCCAGCAATTTATGGTGAGTAAAGCTAGAGTATAGACCTGTATTTTGCATGTTTCAATTCAAGTTTAATTTAGCTAGTAAAAAAATGGCATCATTTATAAAAATAAAAGTGGTCCAAGTTACCCCTTTTTACGGTATAGTAAAGTTCCCTCAAAAATTCCGGTTGGAGGAACAGCTGAGCTGCAGCTGGCGAGGGAAAGACGGAGGTGTACGGGGGATACAAGGGATCGACCGTGAGGCAGGTGGAGAGGGGGAGGCATAGGGGCCAAGAGGGTGGGAAGGGTATAGGAAGGCAAGGCCTGAGCGTACTCAAGGCACCGATTGTTCTCCGTGACAGGCGGTCACCGAGGGTTCCCAACAAGTTACCACACTTGCCCTCGTTTCATGCACTGACATTTGTCGGGAATAAAACACTTGTACTAGCCGTTTTTCTCACTATTCGCGCAATTTTGCCTGAACTGCACTAAAATTGAACCTTTCACTGAAATCGTTTTGGTACAAAATTCGAGAGATAAGTCCAACTGGCATACTAATAAAATACTTAAAAAAACTTTTTAAAAAAACACGTTTTTCTTTTGAACTAAAAAGTAGAAAATAAATTATGGCTCGCCCCAAAAAACGTGTGTCGGGCAGATTTATGATTAAAGCGAAAAGCACACAACACACGAATTTTGGAACTTTGATGGTGAACGTACAGCCCGACCCACATTTTTTGGGGCGAGCCATAATTTATTTTCTACTTTTTAGTTCAAAAGAAAAACGTGTTTTTTTAAATTTTTTAAAAAGTTTTTTTAAGTATTTTATTTTCTCCTTTTTAGTCCGTTGCTAAAGATGAAAAATGTTGTTGCGAGCCAATTTATTTGACTTGACGTATGTATCGATGATACGCAGCGTATCATCGATATGCGCAGTCTAAACACGAATATCCTCTCGAGGATGGCGTGCATTAAAGGTTCCCAACCCCTGTAATAAATGAATAAATACGCCTGGAAACGTGCAAGAAATTATTGATTAATGTATTGTCATCGGGAGCTGAGCTTCCCTAAAAGTTTCAGAGCGCTAGCTAGCGGGAAAGTTGGTGAAATATCGATTGCAAGATTTGATCATCACAGACAGACGGACACGAAAGCGAGCTAAGAAAAACGTGTTAAAAAGTGAGAAAGTTGGGACCCGCAAACATGCACGTGCGTCCTCGATCACTCCCAGAACTCAACCCTGATAAATCAACCCAACCTCAACAGAACTCAACACTGCCAGAATAAAACTGCCAAATGCCTGATAAATTTAGAAGCAAAGGCCTACTTTGAATGTCTGACTTGATTTCTCACTCCAAAATTTATACCACAGCTAATAATCAAATGCTTGATTTTGGGTGATGGCAAAAATAAAAACCATTAAATTCTTGTCAGTGGTCATTTCTGAAATACCAGGCAAATGTTTCCTAAAACATAGTTTTTAGGTATAGCATTTTTAGAACATTTTTGGGAAAAATGGGTGGCTTATTATGGGCCATGTTTATCAGGTAGGCCTAGACTCTTAGTATCAGTATTCTACTCCTGCCATGGTCAAGGAAGCCCTAGGATTAGGAAGTAGGTAGTAGGGAGGAATTTGGCTTGTGATGGAGCAAAAGTTCATCAGGTAATCATCTCGTATTGGATTAAAATGATCTTCATTCTGCAAATTCAAATATTTTTGGATCAATGAATGAACTAAGATGGATCTATATGAAGTATATATAGCTGCCACATCATCCATTGACATTCAAACATTTTGTTTTGAATTTGAACAAATTATTCTATTCACTTATTTATCTCTTTTTAAAACTATAAATGGTGAATTAAATCAATTTGTCTCCAAGATCATCTCAATTCTCAAGTGGATGAACTTTGAGATTCCCAAGGGCCAAGAAGGTTCACTTAATTTAGCTTGAATGCTATAATTTGCTATCTATTTGCTGAGTGAGTATATAGAAATTCTCAAATTCGAACTACTAGAAGGTGAAGGGAGAAGCCTATTCATATAACCTTCAATTGATCCTTTTATCTATGTATATAAATGATAACATTTTTTAAATGTTTGTTTCTTTGTTTTAATTCATTCACCTTGCAGGGCAGGCTGTATTGTGCCAGAGGAGATGTGCATACTTGAATGATGATACGTTGGAATAAAAAGCTCAAGGGGCTTCGCTGCTACATATATTTGCTGGGATGGCTTGGCCTGCTGCTAGTTGCATGTGAGTGCCTACAAAAATTGATATCTTTATGCAGTTGCCATATCAAAAGCTTTTTATGACAAATTAAAGTACATTTAATATTTTTATTCAAATTCATCCCTCATTGCCTTATAACATGAATTCTATAGAGGTGTAAATATTGCCTCAAAAGTGGCAGCAAGCCTTGCCAACTGTTCAATGGGTAGACTTCATCAGGGTATTGATGATATGCCATCCTTGAAATACATGAAACTACTGGGAAAAATTATGTTCATGCTCCAGGATGCCTAAATCAAAGTTGTAAATGCTTCAAAGCTTCACTACCATCTACCAATGGCACGAAATGTCCAAATTAAGTAAAGTTTGTATTACAAGATTTTGAGAATGCTTTAGAAATTGTTTCAATCTAGTTATTTCAGCTATGAAATATATAGTTGCTGAATTATTTGCTCAGAAAATTTTTTTTTACAGAATTCCTTAAAATTATTTTCTAATCTTATCTGAATTTAATTCTTTCAATTTTATACTTTGCTCAAATTGTATATGTGATTCTTCTGAAAAGCAATACTAACCTAACAGCCTGTTCTACCCATTTACTTATCATTATCATGAAGGATTCCTCAGCACTGCTCTGAGGAAAAGTGTTACTTACTGTAACTAATATTTACCAAGTGTATTTACTTATTCTCCTGATTTTGATCTTTTATTGGTTATTCCAACTTTCTGTTCTATCCCTTCTGATTGGAAAATTGATTTATGCATCTTGATTATCTAACTCATTGACATGACCTTCTTATGAAATTTGTCAGGAGAAATGCACTTTGCCACCATGCTATGATGAAGTTGTACAATTCATGCAGTTCAAGTAGTGGCAGCTCGTGTAGTAGAAAAAAATTGAACTATCATCTCAACATTGAAATAAAATTACCATTAAACCAGCATGTACTCCCTAAAAGTAGAGAATTAATGGAACAGTTAGCATTTTAAAATACGTATTGATCCAATATTTTCTATTAGTGTCATATTGGCGGGCGGAACACACGTCCCTTCGAGCGTCTCATGCTCCTTCACGTCGCGGGGACGACGAGAGCAGAGGCAAGTGGACGAGCGACGACAACGCTTATGGTCCTGACAAGCCCAGGCTCAAGAAGCTGCGCCAGCTGTGCAACCCTGCTGAGCGCATCCACGCCGCCAGCGAGGGACGCCTCGCCAACACCGCCTATGATCTCATGGGCATGATCGTGGCCATACGACATGGCGACCGCGGGCCTCTCATGTCTGTCAGGAACCTCTCCCATATAAACTGCAGCCATCGTTCCTATATGAGTGGTGCTTATAAGAACTTTGTGTCTGCTGTCATGAATGCCTCGAGAAGCTCAGACTTTGCCTCGTTTGCTGGGAGTTTCAGCAAGTATCCTGTGTTACCGTCACTCTATCATTGTAGTGCGGCCCATCTAACCCCAGTTGGAGTTGTGCAACATCTCAAGTTAGGTAAAGTCCTCAAGGAAATTTACATAAATAATTTAAATTTATTCTCTCACCCTTGGGAAATTGATGACGTAGTCATTCACTCCACAAAATTTCGACGCACATACCAGAGTGCGTTAGCTTTCCTTCATGGGTTCTTGCCTAAATTCGACGTGTCCCAGCTCCGCGTTGTCGAAGGGCGCTCTGTGAGCTTCTGCAACAACAACTGTCGCTGCGATCGTCTTGCCTTGCTTGATGAAAAGTACGACCAGGAAAGAAAAATGTTCAGAAATTCTCACCCTGGCGTGATGGATCTCCTTGAAAGACTCAGTGCTATAGTTAAAGAAGGCCCAGGAGCCCCTGACATCACGCACCCTGGGGCCATGCGTGACGCCCTGCTGGTGTACGCATGCCATGGTCACGCGCTGCCGTGCGTTGGTGGCGTGTGCGTGCAGGCAGAGGACGTGTCTTCCATCATCTCGTACGAGGAGTGGGAGAGGCGGCAGAAGAAGAGCAAAGCTAAGCACAAAGCAAGCAAACTCCGAGCGTATGGTTTGCTTAAAGATATCGCCCAGACCATGGATACAATGATGCGAGATGGCAAGCCTAAGTTTGTCCTCTATTCTGGTCATGATAAAACCCTCAATTATTTGCTCGACAGTTTGAGTCTTCCCGCTTATCAGCTTCCAAATTACGCCTCACGTATTATTTTCGAAGTATACAAGAACAGTTCATTCAAGTCAACAAGTGAAATGTATCGTAACAGTTTTTACTTTCGTATTATTTATAATGGCAAAGACATAACAAAATTCTTGCCTTTTTGCTCTGTCAAAATAATTTCCCATTACACTAGTGCAAACAACGTACTGAATGCCGTCAACCTTTGTCCTATCACAAGTTTCGACAACTTCCTGAGAGCTTCCAATTATTTTGCAGTGTTTAATGCTACGAACTTCAAGAGCGCCTGTACTCTCGAGAAAACTAGCGGTGCTCTAAGACAAATTGCTAATACAGGACAATAGGGAACTCTGATGTTCATATTTTATTACTAGTTATCATTACTTCTCTGCATCGTAGTTATAATTTTATTGTAATCTTCTCTTTGGACCAAGTTCGCCTTTTCATGTCCACTCACCATCCCCGGCCTCAAGTTAAAATGCACGTCGTTCACAGCGTTATCAAAGTTTATCTTCTTAAGGATTTTTTGGCTGATAATAATCAATTTCAATCCCATAGGCAATAATTTATAATCAAATTTTATGCGATTTCTATGATTTTTCCACTATTAATCGTGGAGAAGCTTCGTAGCTCCCTTAAAAGCCACATTAAGGCTTGTTAGCATCAGCAAGAACTTCTCTTCTAGTCGTTTGATGAAATAAGTCAGCTAGATATATAAAAGCAGTCCTGGCTAGAGCCATAGATGCGATGGTAAAGCTTTATTCCATGTAGCAGACGTCGAGTGATCGAATGATACCGTCTTTAAGCTTTCCCATCGCTATTAAGTATTAAAGCCTAAGTTATCATATGAGCGAAGTTACATTCACATAGAACTTTCCAAATGTTTCTGAGACTTTTCATTAAAATCAGTATAGCTTAATGTATAAAGTTTTGTGCTGTAGGTTAATCACTGCACTCTTATTTCTTGGTGCAGTGTCTCATGTGTAGACTTGTATTGCTTAGTACTCGATCTCCTCGCACGACTGTAAAATTGTTTTGTAAAATTGTTTTTGGTTGTGCACAATTGCTTACAGTTATCGTTGCCGACCAGCAACGATGACTGTAAGCAGCAACGTTCGTCTCATCTGTGATTGTATTGCTAAGTCTGAACTTTTTGGACTTTTCTTAGGCATTACTGTTTAAAATTGATGTCTCATCACGGGGCTGTGAGCCCCACTGCTGCCAACACAACTTATATTGTTTCTCGTGATTGGGGATGCTTTTTGCGCTAGCAGCACTACTGGTGGTGCTACTCGCAATAGAGACATGAAATTAGTTTATGATTAATAGCTCAACCTGTTAAAAGTTTTTTTTAATGAATTCTTGTGTTTTTGCTTCAGCGCTGTGAGACCAGCATATTCTATTTAAATTAATTACTTGCGTCATGCGCGCTTTTAGTACAAGTTATAGCACAATGTGCCGGTTATTTGTTAATTTGTTTACAATTTATTTGTTGTTGATGCTGCTTTATTTCTTGTAGCGCGGTCACATTTCCTCTGAAGATGCGCTGGGCCAATATTTGAAACAGTAATTACTCTTTGATGAACTCGAGTGTTTTTGTGGCATACGCACATGTTCAAACACGGTTCTATATCTTAGGATTTCGGCTGCAGCAATGCATTATTTTTTCATATGTATTTACATACATTCCATGTTTATTGTTATTATCCGACTGCTTATAACGGCTGAGTTGATCTCACCTCAAAGTGAAGGCATTAGTTGTCTCATGAATAGTGGATGATGATCTCATGTTCAACTCACTCTTGTGGCTCCAGATTCCATGTCTAACCCTCTTCCTTATATTATGAATTGAGTATTTCTTATTATTTAATGGAGGAATTCTTTCCGTGTTGCATTTTTAGATCAACTATCCTTTCAGGGCCCAATGTGCGTAGTATCCTCTCACGTGCACTTAACCGCTAGGTTAAGAAATTTTACTCCGTGTGTCTTCTAAGCCATCAGCTGTCTGTCTTTAACCGCGTTACTACGCCCGCCCAAAATAGCGAGCGTCTCTTCAATCATGTGCCAAATTTGCCAGGCACCTTCACTCACGGGTGTCATCACAGCAGCTTCTGATTAGGACTAATGAATTCTTCTTGGAGTCTTCCCTTGGGTGTGTGAGTTCTTCTATTCCAAACTCCTCGTCTCTATCTTAAAGAAACTTAACTCCGACGAAATGTCCAAATGAAATTCAATGTCCTGATTTGGGGCTTAAATCTCCAGTGAATTGTCATGTCATATTATTCTTTGATTTTGATCAAAGCTCTTAGGCAATTATGTTTAAATTTGAGTTTTCTAGGAAGGCTCGCAATGTCTGCGTCAGATTTTCGTCTTCACCATGCAGTTATCACAACAAATTTCTGACATTTTACCTTGTCACTAAAAAGCTTCGCTTTATGCGAGTCATAGATTATTGTTCAATAACTCTTGTAAGCATGCATGTCACATCTCGCGAGTTGCATTGTTTTGCTTAAAATAATAATTGAATTGTTCTAATGCGCTATTTTGAGCTTGGGATTTTCCAACAATTGTGGCTAATTTTATCTAATTAATGACATAAATGAAACCACGGGTAGGAAGTTGTTTTTATTTCTTGTTCTTTCTGTTACTAATAGATTACTAAAAGGTAGCTCCACATTTTCATTCTTTGCAGCTCCGGGAACTAGTCAATGCTGATCTACGAGATCACGATTTACACGCAGCTCCTTTAATATTTCCTTGCAAAACTTCCCTAATATTAGGTAGGTATATTATACTATCCTCCAATGTTGTTTTTCAAATGTCGTCTATCACTTCATCCTTGTCTTTAAGTCCAAGGGGATGGCTGAACTATAATTTTAATTCCCTCAATTAACAAACTCTGAAACATACATACAATGTAAACTCATTTATTCATTATAATTAATGTCTGCGGACATGGTTGAAAGAGACGAAGAAATCTCGTTCATTCTGTTTTTTTCTTCTGCAGTATGTTGATGCTGGAACATGATGAATTTTCTGGGCGAATGTTACAATCACTCACTAATGTTTTTGTCGATATTTTGCTCCCTGAAAGACGATCAAATAACGTGTACCGTTTACGATCGTTTTTAAAAAAATTGTGTGGCTGTAGCCCTGAGGACTCGGGGGGTTTGTGCGCGTGTTACCATCTGTGTTCGGTGTGGATGATACGGTGGACATTGCGTCAGCTGGCGTGATCTTTCATGCGAATGGGACAAATTATTAATCAATTTAAGTTACGTTTGGCAGCCATCTTTTAGTGTTACGTCGAAAGCTACGTCAACGCCCTTTAAATATTATTGTGATGATTTTGTTGGGAAAATCAATTTTTGTGAACTATTTGGGGTATATAACGGAAAAAATTGTTGTAATTAAACATATTGGGAAATCAACGCTCAGAACAAATTGAAAACTAAAAGTCCTCATCAACATCACTTGCAGGCCATTCGTTCCAGTGTACAGTCGATAGGCGTCTTGCTGTGCTCTTCGTTTCTAGAGAACTTCATCTTGTATTGTTTCATAATATTCAATTTTAGACTTCAGTTGTCCTTGATTTATGTAACTGTGTTCTATTTTAGAATGAATATTCCGGCATTGACTTGCATTGCTATTCCGATCTCTTGTGTGCCAATACAGCAGCAGATAGGGTTCGTGCTTTGGTTGACTGACGCATTTTAACCTATCAAGTAAATACTATCAATAAAAATAATTTATTTGACTTCTTGTTTTTTCTTCAACAATATTTGATGCATTGTAAGAAAATGTGTAAAACCGCAATTGTATGATACGAGTTTACACTCCAACTCTGCTTAATTACTTGTATCGTTTGTTAAGCTTTTTTGCTGTAGATTGCGGGTTCAAAGCTCTTATTTTCAAGGTTCGTATTCGCGTCGTATAATGTTTAAGAAGTTTTCATTGCTTACATGCGTCAGAGACGATTTATTTAAAACTATTTATTCTTTAATTAGTTCTCTTGCACAAGGCAATACTTACATCTTAAGACTTCACTTACGCAATGCAAAACTTACATTGCCGCCCCATTGAACAAAAATTACTCAACTCGTGATACTGGGTAATATTTGAGGACATGGTCTGTAGCTAATGTCTTCTGAATAGATTTAAAAATTATCCCCGGAGTGACAGACCGCTCATAATTTAGTGCTTCAGCTAATCTATTTTTTGCTGCAGATAATTCGTAATTTAAACGATTATTCAATATATTTAGTTAAAGTACTACCGTATTCTTATTACTGAAACATTTTGCAATCTCGAATCACATATTTACCAGTAAGGTGGGAGGAATACAATTATATTGAACATTTGATTGGGTATTCTGAACTCAATCAAATCTACTTATAGATCAGTTCGTAACCGACTAAATCAAATAGTTTTAAATAGTCCGGCATTTCTGGAGCTTGATAATTCCTGTAATTTTAGAATCCTGTTCTCCCAAATCCCGTTGATAATAATGAAAAACCAATGTAATATAATTAATAATATAATAGCGGTTTCAGCGTTTAGGCCTGTCGCCGATTCTTAACATCGCAGAAAATTCACAGCTTTTTGCGGTCTCGAACGCGCAACTCACTGCTACAATTCTGTTGTGCTTATTAAACCACCCGGCCTCCTCGCCGATTCTGACCAGAAACTGGCGCACAGAGCTGGGATCGAACCCGCGCCAATCTTGGTATTCTGAACAATACCCACTGGGCCACTCAATTCATTAAAGATATTGTTAAACCCACATTTAACGTAGGAGATAAAACTAATATTGTACGCGTTTCAAAACTTTGTAAAAATCATTGATTATTATAAAAATAATTGAGAAATTAAAATGAAATTTCATGGTTGGTAGTATCCCGTTACGAACAGAATTTGGGTCAGTGCTCGTAGGGTCCCTATATGATTGTGCAGCCAGGCTTCACCCACCCAAACATAGACAAATAATTGCATGTATATATAAGATGATATTTGTTTGCATGCGCTCAAATCTCGGCAGTCGTGCGCTTTTGTTAACTAAAACTTTTATTCCTAAACTGATAGCCGATAGATTATTATCAGATCTCCTGGAAATACGTCACAAACTTCACCAGAATTCCCGACAGGCCTGATTCGAATTGGTCTTCAAATGCAACACTACTAGTACAGAGTACTATTACTACAAAACCAAAGCGAATCTTGGAGAATAGTCAATTTGGAATCGTTTTCACGATATTTGAAATAAGTTATTGACTTATAATAATAATAATAATAATAATAATAATAATAATAATAATAATAATAGCGGTTTCAGCGTTTATTAGGCCATAGGCCTGTCGCTGATTCTTAACATCGCAGAACATCCACAGCTTGTTGCAGTCTCAAACTTACAACTCACTGATTCAAATTTTGCTGTGCTAAACCGCCCGGCCTCCTTGCCGATTCTGACCAGAAACTGGCGCACAGAGCTGGGATCGAACCCGCGCCTCTCTAGTGCGCCAATCTTGGTACTCTGAACTGTAACCACTGGGCATGTAGGATGATAAAATACTTATTGTCAGTAGCTACTTAGAAAAAAATATTAAGTGCCCTTTCTAGGCCTAACGTCGTAAAATCGAAAATTCTTTACCGGAATAAAAATAAAGCTTTCTATTGAGGCCTCGTGAGCATTGTGGATTGAATTCACGGCTTCATTTCGATCAGCCTGTTAGTAGTTAAATCCAAGCAAAATGTATAATCGTAAAAAAATGTATAAAATGTAATGTAAATGTATAATTTAAGTAGCAAAGTTTGTAAATGATCTCCAGTTTTGAATGTCTTAGATTAGTTGATGCTAATTTTAGTTGCATCAAACTCGAGATTTAAAGTAATTTTATTGTATGATAGGGATATCCGTGATTAGAAACAAGTTTGCTTCTTCGCTAACTTTACTTCATAGCTCAGTCAATGAAGTAAGGTGGCTTAGGCAGGGTGGCTACGTGTGGACGTTTTACTGATAGAATTTTTGTTTGGACAAAGAAGAGTCAAATTATAAACCAGACATTTTCTTCCGTTTAAGGGTGTTTAATTTCATAAAATTTGAGACGAAAAAGTAATATATTATGAATATTTGACTACATCATATTACAAATTATTTACAATTTTTTTTAGTTCATATGATGAGCGTACCTATTTGTTTTGGAATCAGAGAAGTTGCCTCCTTGCTCCTTCCCCTGAATCCCTTCCAAATTATTTGAAACATTATTTAGCCTTTAAGAATTAAATATTATCAGCGTTATTATGAACTAAACAAGCAGTGAATTGTACTGCTTCAGTTCATGTCCAATTTTGTCCATGGAGACTATAGAGCACTATTTACAAAGGAACAGTCGAATTCAACCTACTAGGCTGACAAAAAAAAAAAAATTTTAATAGGCTAATTCTGGAATTTTTGTAGAGTTTAAGTCAGAAAGCAGAATTGCATTGTCAAAACGTTCCTCAACATAGAAATGATAGAAGAGTGATCTCTGATCACAGTTGTCCCTGGACCACTGACCACAACACCACAGTAGGCCTACCTATGGTACGGTAGCCTACCTACTTTTTGATTAGCCATTTCAGTGACTTATTACCATAATACTACCATTTTTTATTCTCAATTGAAATTTCATGTTTAAAGACAACTGAGTGCAACTTCTCAAATTGATGGTGTGTTTTGGAAAGACAAAAGAGAATCATTTTTGGTTGGTAAATCATAAATGCCACTGTGCAGAGAGTGAACAAAGATTTAAAGACCTACGGCGACGCATTATCGGCAAAATTTTCGCCTTCAGAAGATCTTGCCGACACATTTAGATTGAAATTCTTGCATTTAATATATTTCTCAGTCTTCAGCCAACTATTTAGAAAGACTGTTTTTAGGGTAAAATTAGTTATTTGGGGTAACACGTGAATGCAACCTTGTAATAAGTTCGTGGCTTGTAAATAGTTCGTCATTACTCAGCGTAAATGGCTTTTCATTAAAAATTACCCGGCGACGAATCTTTAAAATGGCCGGCGACGCTTTGGGCTTAAAAATCCATATATTGCCGACGCTGCATCCACCCCTAGTATGGAATATATCTACTTGGCGAGCCGCGACTGAATTTTTCGAGCCGTGGTTTTATGGATTTGCCAGCCGTGATTCCATTTCTACGAGCCGTGATTCTATTTCACCGAGCCGTGAATTCCATATCTCGGCCACGAAAAGCCATTTACGAGGTGCGAATGCGAATTTATTTACAAATTTTATGCACGTGTTACCCCAAATCTCTAATTTTACCCTTAAACAGTCAAACGGCAACAATAAAATTTGTCTCTACTGTAAGTTCAGCACGTGTTAATATACAGTCTGACCGCTTTGACATGACCGCAACTATGCGCGATCTTCAACAAACGTTTTGTTTATTTGTTTACATTACAATGTTTATGTTTTTTCTGCAAGATATTTTTGGCAGAAACTGTAAAGCAATGCGGATTGCGCAAGTTGAAAATTTTATGAAATGACATGTTTGCGAAGTGCAAACCGCGATTTTTTAATCAAACAAAAATTTATGACATTCGAGCCGTGTGATTTCATACCTACTGAAATTATATGATATTAGAGCCGCGATATTTCAGACAAAAATAGGACTTTTCCTGACTAGTACAGCAATCCCTTGATTAACGCGGTTAATAAATCCCCGAGTTTTACCGTGTTAAGCAAAACCGCGCTAATCAAACTTAAGAATATATGGGAATAATTATAATGAATCCTCAAAAATAGCAAAGTTACATAATAATTTTTTTTCACTAAAATTCATCATATATTTTCATCATCATCATATGTGTATCAAATAAATAAAAAAATGTGAATGAATTAACGTATTGTTTCCCGTGCATATTGTTGACTCGGGAAACCCTAGGTCTTCACTAATCTTCGTTTTCGTTTCACCATTATCAAAACGCTTAATTATTTCAAGCTTAGTCTCCAAAGAGATATTTTTACGTTTAAGCATTCCCTTTTTTGTCCATAATTATGATGGTAATTTATCAAGGAAAATTATGTAGTTTGATAAAAAATGAGCAGTAGATATGGCAGCGATCTTGACCAGTTGAAGGCTAACGAGTAAGTTAGAGCATCAGCATGGCACACTTACCGGCGAACGTTGCCGAACTCGATCATTCGAGTTATGAACGAGAATGAACGAGACAAAGCGCGGTTAAACCGACTCTGTAGTCAGCACGAGTGCATACGGAACGGGACCTTATTTAAAGAATTATTGGCTGAAATTCATAAAGTAACAACATGCGGCGAATTTTTCCAAAAGTCGTAACAAAAGTAACAACATAAGATCTTATATGCAAAAAGTAACACTTTTGTTATGAACGTAACACCTCTGGCTAGAGACCGATTTGACACTTCAGCGAACTCGCGTGCGAACTCGCCTGCGAGCTCGAACTTCATTTTCAACTCTGGCACTCATAACTCCTTCAATTATGAACGGATTTTATTCAAATTTGAAATATAAGTAGATAATATCAGTACGCTGCGGAGGGTATTTTTTTCAAATTTTTTCATCAATGGTTGGCTAGAGGCGGGAAAATGATGCGTTGTGAAAAAAAGTCGCGCTAATCAAAACTGGCACCGCGTAGATTAAGGGTAGGTTGCAAATTTTTTTTCCGCGGTAATCAAAACCGCGGTATTCAAAACCGTGCTAATCAAGGGATTGCTGTATACAC